TTCATTTAAGTACCCACATCATTTTTTTATATATTTTTCATATATACATATATACGATTATATAAAATATATGAAAAAATTATGTGGGTACTCAAATGAAAGGTCTTGATGAGTGTAACATCGGGATGAGCTTATATCTTTAAAAATGTCAATAGTTAAAAAAGTACAGTGCAATTTAACAGTACAGTGAAATTTTTTAGAATTTTCGTTGTAATTTTTTTCTTTAATTAACTTCATTAAATATTCGTTCAAAAAAATGTTTAATTTAATTAATTATATAACTTCAATATTCTTTCGCGAACTCAAATTTTTAAAGGATATTATTTCGTTAATGCAGAAATAATTATTCCTTCCAAAAATCGAAGGCACAACACACTCCATAATAAAAATTATAATCGTTTAGTAGATTTCGACCCTTAGCCGGAATCCACATCTTTAAATTATTCTTAAAACTGTTCATGTCTTCACTTTTGACGTCACATTCATAAGTGTGAGACCGATATAAATAAGCCGATAGCAATCGAGGGATGCTGCTGTAAATACTTAACTGGGGACTTTTAGAAAAATCCCAAACTTTTATTCGATTCAACATAGGAATCAATTTCATGATAAAATTATGACAAACTTTCATAGTTTTTTTAATGACTTCATTTTCATCATTTTCATCATCAGCAGCCACTTGGTAAATTACAAAGAATCTCGCGACGTATATACACATTCTATATAGGTCAAAGTTAGTATCGTTAGATTGGTAACTTATTTTGGATAAAAGGTCGCTGTCAATGGTCAAAATTATCTGGGTAGCAACATCTAAGTACCGGCAGTCGTTATGAATCAAATAGTACTGTAATAATTTATTCCCCAATTTGCACAACTTAACTAATTCTGTGGCGTTATTGTTCCACTTTGGAAAGCTGTCTTCAAATCCATCGTCAAAGTTGCACAATAATCTTTTAACAAATTTTTCTTCGTCAGAGTCAAAATATTCAAAATTCCCGATCTCGACTTTTTTTAACAAAGTTTTCACCCGGTCAAGCTCAACTGCTGGCTTACGGAACACAAAGTACCACAAAGTACCGGCTAAAGATATTAACAAGAGCAAAATAGCTGGAAAAGCTAATGATAAGAACTTATTACGCAATTTATGTTGTGGTATATTATATCTGGGTGGTACTGCAATAGAAGGTTTCGGCATTTTAATAATGTTCTATAATAAATTTAATGATATTTTATCAACAAAAAATTTTCCTTTGTATGCTACAAAACTAATCACTTTTTTACAACGAATCATTTGCATAAAATATTAATATTCTTTAATGAAATTAATATTAAATGTCTTGATTACTATTTTACCTTTTAAAGTGTGTGTTGTTTATATAATTAGCTGTTAATATTCAAGACAATATTGAAAAAAAGATTATTTTACTAATTAATTAGTTAAGCGCGGAATATTAGAAAGATTTTTTTCACCTCCTCTCTGCTTCAATCATTTTTATTCGAGAGAACAACCTTCCAAGGATCTGTACGGCCATTCAAAAAATTGTAAATGAAGTAAAAAAAGGACAATAATAATGATCTATGAAGTTGTTGAATATACACAGTAAAAAATATTGTGTATTTGTGTCGAAAACGGTTTGTGTTAAAAATTGTAGTGTGTTAAAATAACACAAAGCTTGTGTCATTTTATTTTGTAACATAAAAAATGTGTTATATACTCTTTATTAACATATTTTGTATGTTACTTGGGAATGAACACAAAGTTTGTGTCAAATTTTCCATTAATATAACATCACTTCTTCACTTTACGCAGCAAACATTTTCACGAAAATATAATAAATATTAAATAATAAAGACAATTAAATTTATATGACACCTAATTCCTAGTACTACACAGTAAAAAATATTTTGTATTTGTGTCGAAAACGGTTTGTGTTAAAAATTGTAGTGTGTTAAAATAACACAAAGCTTGTGTCATTTTATTTTGTAACATAAAAAATGTGTTATATACTCTTTATTAATATATTTTGTATGTTACTGGGCAATGAACACAAATTTTGTGTCAAACTCGTCATTAATATAACATCAACTTTGTGTTGACAGCCCGTCGATTCTTCACTTTGCGCAGCAACCATTTTCACGAAAATATAATAAATATTAAATAATAAAGACAATTAAATTTATAACTCGGCTGCTTCACTTTTAAAATCTATAAATTATTTTTTGATTTAATTATTAAAAATTTTTCATACTTTCTTCCTTCCAATTATTTATAGTCGGTAATTGTTGATGTTTCGTTAAAATGTAAATGATAAAAAAAAAACATTTTTAAATAAATATTATTTACTGCAGTTGAGGAAATAAAAAAAAATTATTTTATAGGTTATGTTATAGGCATCAAACAGTTGATGAAAATAAATAAATTTATTTAACATTTATTTTGTGTTAAGATTGACATTTTAGAAGTGTATGATTCTTTGCGCCCTCTTGTGGAGATATTTTCAACATAATCTTTGTGTTAAAAAGGGGTTACACAAAATTTGTGTTGAAATTTCAACACATATTTTGTGTCAACCGTTTTTAACACACAAACTGTGTTGATTTTACATAATATTTTTTACTGTGTATCAAAGGTGCATGTATACTTAGCATATTTCAGATTATCCTATTGTAATGTATTTTGGGTATATAATCCAAATTGGAATGCTCTATGAGTCAGTCTAAGGTAATAAGCCATCGAGTTAGCATTGCAAAACGCTCTCACCTGTATTGTACTTTATATATACTAATATTTTACTACTTCTTAATTATTGTTAAATAAACTTGTTATTTAATCTGATCTTAGCGCGCCATTATTCATAATCCTTAACAGAAGTTATTGTAGACATGAGCCAATATTCTACCACCAAGAAAATTTGCCATGATTTTTTAGCCACTCTAATTCTTAAGTTGAATTTTATAATGGAAAAATCTGTAACTGAGGAGTCGTTGGTGATTCGTGTTAATGTGTGATACGGTTGATTACTAATTACGTAAACGATCGTAAGACTTATGATAGAGATCTTGGTACGGATGAGATGGAACAGTTTAGAAAAATATTTAAGTCACATTTTGCGACAAAACCTGCGGATAAGGAAGAATTGTTTTATTATAGCTTGTGTCTCGTTTTTGATAACTGGAAAAAATAAAAATTTTAATTATAAATAATTATATACAAAAGAAAAATAGTTTTTAATTTTTATATATTTGAGAAGTAAAAAAAAATAATTACTAAGCTAAAATTTTTTTCGTAAATTTATAATTGAACTTTAATAAAAATTTTTATTGGCTTTTAATTCACCTCAAACTTAATTTCCATTATAAAATTCATAATATTGATAATTAAAACTTGATTGTATCCCATAAATTGAATCACTTTAGACATATTTGATTTTCCTTGCGTCATGATTAGACATTATTCAGCTACCCGAGTTACACAGAAGCCCGAAGGGCCAGTCTGCACGTACGTCCCTCTCAAGAGAGATACGCCATGCAATTATACACGGACGATTGCATCGTCATAAATATTCATGTGGCTTTACTTCTCCTCCGACGCTATACTATACATATATGTAAGTTTAGAGCCTCATATTTCGCTAAACTGTATCTATTATAGATCCTTGCGTTAGATAATTTAAAATTAAACTAAAAAGTCATATTTAATTATTTAGTACATAAAATTAACCCTTAAATAAAATAATATCTTAGAGAAAAATAATCTCACGGCTTCGGAGCCGAAGACGGATTAACGATTCAATTTATTATAATTATAATGCAACGCCAATTGCCCTATAGGTTAAACGTTTATTATTATCATTATTATTATTATTATTATTATTATTATTATTATTATTATTATTATTATTATTATTATTATTATTATTATTATTACTAGCAACCTCGCGGTCACTATGTGATTTTGCTTTATTAAATAATGACTTTTGCTAAATTGCACTGTACTTTTTTAAATATTGACATCTTTAAAGAAATAAGCTCATCCCGATGTTACTATCATCAAGAGCTTTCATTTGAGTACCCACATGCATTTTGATATATTTTTCATATATTCATATATATATATATAATATATATAAATATATGAAAAATTGGTGTGGGTATTCAAATGAAAGGTCTCGATGAGTGTAACATCAGGATGAGCTTATATCTTTAAAAATGTCATGTGTTGATAAAATAACAATGTCAGTTCTTAATTATTGACATTTTTAAAGATATAAGCTCTTCCCGATGTTACACTCATCAAGAGCTTTCATTTGAGTACCCACATGCATGTTCATATATTTTTCATATATACATACATATATATAAATATATAAAATATATGAAAAATTGATATGGGTACTTAAATGAAAGGGCTTGATGAGTGTAACGTCAAGATGAGTTTATATCTTTAAAAATGTCAATTATATATATGTAAATATGAAAAATATAT